TTTCTCAGTAAAGCCTAAAGGAAACTTAGTCAGGGGTCTACTTATAAAACACGCTCAACTCTCTTGGTTGCACTACAAACCCCAACCTGCCTATATAGTATACAAAATGGTGGTTACATGCCCAATCGCCTAAGCAATGTAAGCATACATCAAATTCGGCCACAAGACCCTACTGATCATGGCTAAAACCTTTTGTCACTCCCACAATTTGATGGTTCTGATAAAGGGGCAATTGTTAGCTGACTTAACCAGCAACTGCCCATAACTGTTGTGCATGATGTGTGCACATGTTAGCAATTCCCTCATATTGTGCACATGTCAGTATTCTACACAAAATCGACATGCATGTCAAGCACATCCCAACAACTATCTAGAACCGCTACCACCTGCAGGGCACATGCCTCAATCGTTCAGAATCACCTCACATGTTATGCATGTGTCTTTCTTGCGAGCTCGCAACACCTAAATTAGCATTGTCTTCATGTCAAGTCATATCCAGCTCATGGCTTGGTCTTTCCAAGCTAGCAATGCCCCATAAATTTGAGTCACCCCAACTAGTCTTGCTTGCTTGATTGTGCCCAATATGCCCATGCATAAGCTGTCTCCCTTAGCTATGCATGGGGCTTCAATCAACCCACTAGTCATGCCTAATGTGCCCATGCATGAACTGTCTTCCTTAGCCATGCATGGGGCTTCTCCCAACAACGGGTTTCATTGATCATCGGCCCCACATCTCGAGTCTCAAACTTTGGAATGTCTTGCCTCACCCATAGCAAACATTTGTTTGAGGACATGTCTTGCTTTGCTGTGCTAAGGCTTAAGAGTATAAGGGTCCCTAAGGAGGTTGACCTAGTACCGCCTTTGCGGAGCACCCCCTTATAATAGCATTAGCAAAAACGCATTGATAGCAATGAATATACTCTGAGCCGAGAAATTATAACAACTTGAGTCAGAGGCATAATCGCTACATGTCACTTGAGCCTTTTCTGAATCACTTTGTTACTCAACCAAGTAAACATCCAAGTTCTTAGGAAATCAACTTTGCACTAAAGTTTTACTTCACCAAGTATAACCCAATTTGGCTAAGGCATGGGTGCTTTTAGGCAAGGCAGCCACATGTCAATACCAAGCCAACGAACTAAGGGAGTAATAAATCACGCCCACTAGAAGAGCTCGACGTCTTCGTTAAGAAGGTGTCTCAATACTTCTTGATTTGTTTCTCAAACTATCAAAGAGTCACATCTCTTTCCCAATTCACGTCTGCCTCGAAACCACCTTCCAATACTAGAAAATCAGTCCTCTAATTCTTCTTACTCTAACCCATGGTCCTATGAGACAAAATCTTGTCGACCTCCTTATCAAACTGTTTCCTAATTATAGGCAAGAATGAATCCCTTGACTTTCTTCCTTTTCTCCTCCCCTAGTCTGGTCTCCTTCTTTGTATCAGTGTTAGTTATGGAGCTGAGGTCAAAAGGAGCCTTAGAAAAATCCCCAACTGGTCTTGACCCACCAACTACCGAAATGCCCTTGCTTGGGTCAGCTCTTCGAGGGTCAAGTCTTTTGAAAAGCTTTTTTGAGGCCACCTTTCTTAGTCTAGTAAAGGCTTTTGTTTGTGGTCTATGATGGAAAAGGATTCAGAAAACTCGATCAGGCAGCTTCAAGTAGTAGGCAACATTCCTAACCTTTTTCATCACTTCGAAAGGGTCATCTTATTTCGGAACATAACTACCTTACTGTTGATCCTTTTTCATATTACAATAGTCAATTTTAGCAAGGCTAGGTCACCAATATGAAATTTCAGCGGTCTGCGACCTTAATCAACATACTTCTTCATTCAGAGGGTAGCTTTAGCCAAGCTATCCTTTGCCTCATCAAGCAACTCTTGCTTGGAACGAGCAAATCAATATGTAGCGGGACATTTACCTCTAGTCCTTTGTTTTCACCACTTCTTGAGGAGTAAATGGTTGTTGTCCCATAGCTAATTCACTAGAACTCATTCTTGTAGCCGAAGATTTGTGCAAGTTGTAACAAAAATAAGTAGTGTCCACCAGTTCCACCTAATTTTTCTGACTATGTTGCTGCAGATAATCCCCCAGCAAGGCATTGATCTACTTAGTCTGTACGTCTGTTTGAGGATAAATTGCTATGGAGAACTTTAACTCAAAACCCATGAGGTTGAACAACACTGTCCAGAATATGACAATGAACCTTGTGTCGCGATCACTGACTATGTCTTCGACAAACTAAAGCAATTCACCACATACTTATAGAATAATTATGCAACAACATTTACAGGGTATGCATGAGGTGCAAGAACGAACACAACATACTTGGAGAAACGATTGACCACCACCATGATTGAACACATGTCATCAACCTTTAGTAGGTTGCTTATAAAATCCATTATGGCTAATTGTCACGGTTTGTTAGAGATGGGCAGTGGCTGAAGTAAACTAGTTGTCTTCTTATTTTCAACCTTGTCAAGTTGTCACACAAGACAAGTCCTGACATAGGCCTTAACGTCATCTTCCATTTTGGCCCAGTAATAGAAGCGAGATAACAATGCAAGCATCCTCTCTACTCTGGGATGTCCAGCCCACTGAGACTCGTGTGTTTCACATAGTAACTCTAGCCTTAGTTCCCATCTTGCAGGAACATAGAGTTTACCACCTTTGGCATAAATCAAGTCATCATCCAACCAATATTTGCGCACCTGACCTTCGTCAACTTCCTGCTTCAATTTGTCATAAGCAACATCAGTCTAGACATACTTTTTGACTCTTACAAGGAAGTTAGTATGCATATTTGACAGTAAAAAAAAATCGTACTTAGCAAGGAATTCTTGTTATTGGGCATACTTCGGGGTCAATATCTTCTAGGATTTGACATAGGTGTTCTCCATGTTGTCCGTCACAATGGTGAACTTTGTTCCCAAGAAGTAATGCCTCTTAATTTTAAGGCAGTGCACCACAACAGTCATTTCCTTCTCGTGTGCTGAGTATCACTGCTCAGTATCTTTTTATTTATGGCTTTCAAAGGCAATAGGGTGTCCTTTCTGAACAAGTGTTGTTCCAATGGCACGATCAGACGCATCTGTCTACACTTTGAATGGAAGATCAAAGTCAACCAGTCTCAACATAGGTGCAGAAGATACTACATGTATCAGCTTCTCAAAAGTTGTCTCACAGGCACCATTCCAGTCTCATTTTTTATCTTTATTTAGCAAGTCAGTTAAGACATTACACTTCTTGAAATATTCCTCAATGAACTTGCGATAATAATTAGCTAGGACAAGAAATGACCACAATTAAGGCACCTTGGTTCGTGCAGGCCAATCGACGATTACCTTCACATTCATCTTATCCATCCAAATTTG